TAAATGAAATGTCATAGGATTAGTTGCTTCTATTGGAGATGAGTTGAGGAGCAATTGGACTTGGAGTCGTGCCTGAGATCAATGATGAGATTAGAAATGGCTTTGTGGTGGGCTCTCAGGTTCTTAAAAGGCTCAACTTTATCCGGACAATCGACAATTCGCTCGTTAAACGTTTCAACGCCAATGGTGCGATTTAAGCATCACCACTTTTCGTCCTTGACACCTCACTCATGTTTCTCCCCCTGGCATTATTTTATGTTTTGTTTTCTTTCACTCGGTGTTAACTGCTTTGTTTGTAGTGTTATGGGGTTTCATACCTCACTTACTCAGTCAATCGTAAAATACTACGATTTGAGCATTAAACTTGTTTTTGCTGGAAGGGGAGAGAAGTTGAATGGTTTCTTCATGCTTTTGGAAACATCTTAAAAACTTGTCGATTTACGAATAAATGTCGCAGGAACTTTTTGCTGAGAATTGAATTTTTGAAAAAAAATGTCTTTTCATTTTGTTCCCTAAAACAAATACATTTGGAGCCTTTTGCTGCCTACCGTGACGAACTGTTTCGGAGCTGATTGCATTTCATTAACACTATTTCACGGATATCTCCGGAACCATTGGGTTTACAGAAATATGTCGAAGGAGCTTTTTTGCAGCTCTTGAAATTCTGCAGAAAAGTCCCTTATGACACTTTTCTCTCACAAGCTCCCCTTTCAAGTTATCAACGAAATAATCACCAAATTTGTTTACGATGTGCTTTATTATACTTTATCACTGATTTCAATCGTTCGATGATCATTTGTCATCGGTTTCGATAGAACACAGTGAAATATTTGTCAAGAATACTTCTCATATTCTCATAAACATATAATGTACCAGTTATTTATCGTTATTCCACATTTAAACGTGAAATACAACAAAGTAAGACAGAAGTAATGAGAATTATCTGAAGTATGATGTGTTTCGTATATCACGTTGAATGCATTCGTTGTCCGCCGACTGTTTTCACATAAATGTACGTCTATATGGATAGCGGACAGCAAAACGTACGTTACGTTATTCACCTCTTGACTGTTACGGAATGGTTGAAGGGGAATTTCGTTGAGAGAAGGAGTTGAGCGAGAGAGGAACAAGGGGGGGAATTATGGATGGGCCAGATATACGACTTTGAAGACAGGAGGTGCATTGAAGAAGTGCGTGTTCGCATATATATGATCATTTCCGTGGAGTATGAGACGGCCAGGAGGCTAACAACAAGCCGAGCAATATGTTAAAGACAGCTACATAATAAACTCGTTGACAGGTTCCAAGTCTGGGCTCACTCGAGCGTGATCGTGCATCTTTCGGTTATCCTGGCAACTTGTCAAATCAAAAATTGTTTATAACTGGTATTAATTCATCATTCCAGGAGGACAGAAGGCTAATTTTTTGGAAAATGTTTGGTTTTAGGGAATGGTTTCAGAATTTTTTGGTTTTCGCTATCGTTTTTGGGCAATATTTCAGAAACCTGCGGGTTTAGGAGAAAATATCATATGAGCTTATTTGTAGGGAACTAAATTCACTACAAAAAGTGTCTTGTGACATTTTTTGCTAAACCTTTCGGCGATAAATAAATCCTCAGATAAAAAACAAGTTGAAATTTGAATGAAGAGTTTGAATGAATAAAAATTATCTGTTGATTTTTCTATCAAAAGACCATTTGCAATTGAATTTCTAATTGCACCACTCACCTATCAGTTAGCACAACTACCCCCAGTACAAACCGCAGAGTCCAGTAGTCCACATGTGTCGAAAGCCATCGAGTTTCCAACTGTCTCAATTCCCCATACACCTGGCGATTTTTCTCGCTGTCAGTTCGCCAAGAATAATATCTACATATCGGATATTCGCTGTCAGTCTCCCGTTGATTAAAAAAACACCATCAATTGTGAAACCATTGTGACTCATGCCCTCATTGGAATTCAAACCCGAAAAGTTCGCTGTCAGTCGCTAGAACACGCCGACTGTCAACGCCCGTCACTTATCACCACCTAGACTTGGAGAGTCGACAGTTGCCCCAGCGTTGAAAGTATCGAAAAAATTATAAATAAATTCGCCGTCGCAACCTGAAAAAACAATTCAGTTCTTCAGGCGTGAGAAAACACTTTACTATCGGAAATTGTGAATTAAAATCTCTAATTAACAATTTTATTCACTATTTGTGCTTAATTGTCTAGAAAAATAGAACTCTTCTCACAATTTTGTGATATTGAACTGAAATTTGATTAAATTTAGTTCTTTTCCCTAGAAAAATGAGGACTAAGTCTGAATGTTTTTGCATTAATGTGTGGTTTCTCAGGAAAATGGAATATTCTATTTTTTTCTGTTCACAGAATTGTCAGCACGCCATAAAATCAAAAAACATAAATATTCAATTTTACGTAAAAAAATATTCCCAGAAAATTCTATTGGCGTCATACTTCAGTAAAAATACTTTACTATTGAAAAAATTGAACCTAAATCTCAAATGGAGACTTTTTATTCAATATTTATGCTGAATTCTCTAGGAAAATACAACTCTTCTTCCAATTTTATGATATTTCAGTAAAAAAAACGTCAATTTTTTTTCCTTTCCTTTCACAGAACAATCACCACACCATGAAATCCTAGAAAAACTCCATATTTCTTGCACAGTTGGCCACAAATATTCAGTATTTAAATTGAAAAAATTGCCAGAAAACTTTTGAAATTGCATTTTGTCATTCCCACGCATTCAGCAACCCAAATAAATGATTTATGACGTAAGAAGAAATAATCTCGAGTGTCTTGAATCATAAATCGATCAGAGACACTCTGAATCACGCCTCGAACCTCCATCCCAGGCCCTTTTACACCTTCCTCGAGGGGTTCGTGTACCCCGGGATTACGAGTACACCGACACCGGTGCAAGGATACTCTCGTGGTGTTTCTAAATATAAACCCCTCGGTGTATATACAGAACAGAACAGAACGACCAAATGGACTAAAAAAAAGTTTCGAAAAGAGGTAGAAGTGAAATAAAAATAAAGGATAGGAGGGGGAGGAAGGGCGAGAGGAGGGGGAGGGTGGAGAAATAAGAAGCCGGTTGTTCTGGTCGTAGAGACAGTATATACACGTCGAGTGCAAACCCGTGGGCATTCGTGGAGTTCTTGCAGGAGTTTTGCCCAGGATATACGCATTTATTTCTACTTCTGTTGTTTTTTTTTCCCCATCTTTGTACTACTGTAATGTACCTGGGGGCCATTAAAATTATTACGGAGACTGTAACCGGGGGATTGGGTTCCTCTTGGGCTTCTGTACCTGCGATGTCGGAATTTTAATTGGTATTTTTGGTTGAATTAACTTTAGGGTGACCTGTTTTTTGGTGAACTCAACGGTTTTAGAGATATTTATGAAATAAATACATTTGGGCATTTTAGAAACAAGTTTTTAATCAGAGCCACGAAATTTCGGTATCAAAATTACGTTTGATTTTCAAATAAATGATTCAACCTATATTTTTTAATTCGTGCATTGTTAATTATTTAATTGTTTCCCTCGTATAGAGGTCCGGGAAGTCGAAGGATACCATGTGGCGTCCTGCTTTCCATGTAATTTATACCTTAAGAACGTCTAAGGTTTGACCAAGTAGAAGAGCCCGGGTACAGAAATTGTACAGAAAATTTAAGAAATTTGCAATTTTTATTGATTTTCCTGTGGAATTGAGAATTTTTAGTTACGAAATTCCTTGAAATTTTAATGGAACTATGATGTGATGTAAATTTCCAAGAAGTCTACAGGAAATTCAGCCCAAAAGTTTTAAGGTACATCCCAATGGCAATGCCAGGCGAAAGTTAGTCCCTATGAATTTCCGAAAGAAATTCGAAATGACGCAATTTATTGCATTCTCATAATTCATTGAGTTTTTCTATCCTCATGTTGTTGATGAAGGCAACAATAACTGTTTGAATCCATTAAATTATTTGTTAATTAATTGTTTGAATCAAATAAGAAATGATTTCACGAAATTTCACGAAATTATTTCACGAAATATCGCCAAAAACCATATGCAATAAATTTTTTTTTTAAATTCACCGTATTCGGAAGAACATCGTAACGGCCGTTTTCCAAATGATCATCAGTTTTTCAAAAAAGTTCTGTCATCCAATTCAATTTGCGACAGCTAATCCCCAAATTACGATTCAAAATCACGAATTATTTATTCTTAACGAGATGTGAATAAAAATTGTTCATTTCCGGTTGAACTTGGTGTTTCGTTGCACTTTAAATTGAAACAAATCGCCAACGGATGTGCGCATATAGTGTGCGAAACATCGCGTGCCACTGGGATGTCACCTTGCCAAAGAGTCCGGTATAACTCAGCATCCCAACGTTTCCGTCCGGTCGATACGCACATACACTTGGAGCGTTAGATAACGTTAAACTGTACCACGCTTTACCAGCGTGGCTCCAGCATACCAGCGACCTTAATTGTTTCGCTTCATTGCCGAGGTTGACCCCCGGCGTGGGATCATTCTGGAATATTTGTAATTGATTTATTCGGGGATTTTCTCTCCACACTTTATACAATTCCTCGATTATCTCGAGAATTAATGGTCCTACGACAAAATGTGCTGCAAACTTTTTATAGAAAATTAAATTTTCTACCAAAAATCTGTTATGACATTTTGCGGTAAACCTCTTTGTTTTGGCGATATTCGCGAAATAATTCAGGAAGGAATTTTACACTTGATCGATCCAAATGACTTTATCTCTTGACGATTTGTTTTGAATTCCTCAATTATCTTGAGAATGATTTATCCCATGAAAAAATGCCCCGCGAACTTTTTGTAGAGAATTAAATTCTCTGCAAAAAAGATCTCTTGACATTATCTTTCAAATCTCTTCCCTTTTACAATATCCGCGAACGAATCTTCCAACTATTTCGCACGTCTTGTTTGAATTCCACATGTCACTTAATTTTGTTTCTTCTTATTGATGTTCAGGTTGGACACGCTTCGCCACCACCACCGGCTCCATCATCCGGCACTCAGAGCTCGCCACCACGTGGTCCACGTACCCTATTGCTAAGACGCAGCGAGAATGGCTTTGGCTTCACTCTACGTCACTTCATCGTATATCCGCCCGAGTCCTGTTGCGTAAGTAATTTCATCGGGTGAAGTGCCTTCTATGAGATTGATCCGTCAATTAGCTGCATAACGTTGATTCATTTTTCCCATGAAGATGCTGCCGGGACACGAGCGGACGAAGATCGACGAGCCGATGGACACGATCTTCGTGAAACAAGTGCGTAGTAATTCACCAGCTGCCGAAGCGGGCTTACGTACGGGCGATAGAGTCGTGTCTGTGGACGGTGTACCTACTAGGGGTGAACAGTACGCCAGTGTCGTTCAGAGGATACAACAAGCGGGACCTTGGCTGAGATTACTCGTTGTTGCTAAGGAGGACGATATTTTGCAAAGGGTAATTAATCTATTTCAGTCAATGATATGTCAGTCTTTTTGATATTTTCTTTTTATTCCGCATTCATTGTTGAGGATACACAAGTATTTTGGCTATTTTTTCGTCAGTGAAATGCTTTTTTATTTTTGCAGTCAAATTCTTCAGACATTTTCAGATATTTTGCAATGAAAATATTTGAAAAATTCATCTCAAGGAATTCATTAAAAAAATTTTCACTAAAAAGATCAAATTCTACAGATTTTTTATATTAAATAGTTTCTACAAGACTTCTATTAAAAAACGCGCAGGGAAGCTGCTTAATTTTTCAATGAAATGAGCGAAATAGTAAAAGAATTTCCAGGAGAAGGGCAAATTACAATTTACGGTAATATTTTCAATTACAATACATAGTTCAATATTTTCTTGAATATCCCTTGACCTTTTCAATTCAATAGCGACATTTGGCAATGATTTTATTAGTTAAACTTTGCAGATCTGAATGGGAAAGTTTAATGAATTAAAATTAGAAAGTTTAGTTTTGGATGAAATTTGATGAAATAATTTAAATTTTGAATTTTTGAAAATTACGAGCATTTTTTGTAAATAATTTATGAACAATCAATTATCCATTTTAAAAATCATTTCATGTCTAAAAAAGTAAGCTTTCCGAAAGTTTAAACAATTTTAATTATTTATTTTTGAACAGCGAATGTTTAAAAAAATTATAATTCCGTGCAAAATGTAATTTGAATGACGCTGAATATTCATGATTTTTGTCAATTGACAAAATGATTAAATCTATAGTGTGGTCTGTACCAAACTGTAAAAGATACTTCGATATCCTTAAATATCAGAACTTCTATTCAAACCTCATTTGACCCTGAGTTACCCGGAACTTTGCAATAACTCTATTATTCAAATTTTGAAGTTTAGAATTTAATTGTTGATTTCAACCCATTGTTATTTTTCACGTGACAGTTCCACTGAAACTTCTTAATTGAAAACCCGCAGTTTCTAGCAAAAATAAATGCAAACTCTGAAATTAAATTACATTATTCTCCAAAAACGACTGGAAACCAGAAAAATTCCGGTAAAAATATTTTAGAATTTTCAATTAATCGAAAATTCTGCGTAATTTCGTACTGAAAAATTCAAAATTCCACGAAAAAAATCACAGGAAAAAATTCCACTGAATGTTTCCTTAACTTTCCAATGAATTGAAAAATCCCCGTAATTTCATCGAATAATAATTCCCCCCCCCCCCC